GCCTGTCCTATGTAAAACTCCTAAAGACACCTAAGCATTACCTTCTCACTTCGAAGTTAGCAACTTCAATGACTGCCGAAACGTTGGATAATTCTCACAATTCGACACTACTCATCGCCGAAAGCCGAAGTTGCACATTGAACCTAAGGACAAGGGCCTAGAAAGTGTGTTCAGTTGATGCGAATAATTTATTATTAGTTAACAATTTTAAGCCTTATGAAAACTATAGGCCGAACTCGTGAGGCGCCTCTGTCCGTGGTCACTTCAGAAGAGCTCCATCTGGCACCGGGCAAACATAACTGCCGAGCCCTGCTTTAGTCCATGAGGACTTGAAGTATCTGAGATGATAGGATAAAAGAGAATGCAAGAACACAAGAAATAAATGAAAATAAGACTCTGGATGAAGGAGGACGAAGGAAAAAAGATAGTAACTAACAATTGTGAACTCCACCAGGTGGCAGTGGAAGAAAAAGCTTGGTGAGGAAAGAGGAAGGGGTCGACCTCTCTATATTACAGTATTGATCTTCAGGATGAAAAATTAATGAAACTTCTTCCACTGATGTGGAATGAAGAAAGTGCTGCTAGGTGCAACGACGTAAGGAAAAGGTTCTTCTTCGCTCCGCTTGAGGCAGTGCGAAACGATATGACGCAGTCCATGCTAATAAGGACGGGCCACCAGAACTGAAGAATTAAACTGAAATCTGCAAGCAGCACGAGAAACGGAATAAAGGTGAAGCGAAGTGAGATAATTACGAAAGGGGAGGTTCTTTTGGGAAATTGAAATTAGTTTCTTAAAAACTGTAACTAAGATTTAAGGTTGTGGAGAAAATTGGCAAATGTACCGTGTGATACATTCTAGCAATCTTATTAACATTCGCTGAAGAGACATCGTTGTTCCAGAGACAAAGTAACAGAAAGATTTCATTTGTGTCTTGACTTCACAGGTCACGCATATTAAAGTCATTACTTAGCTGTTTATCACTTCTTTCTTCTGGTTTATTTTTATTTTGATAATATTTAACTATATTAAAATTGTGTTGAGTATTCACACTGGATTCTAGTGACTCAGGATAGGATGCGGTGGCGGGCTCTTGTGGTGACGGTAATAAATTGTATTGTTCCATAAAAGACGGCTAATTTGCCTACCTGAACGTACTGATGGCGCCAATAGACGAGTATTCTGGTAAGAACGTTTGTAAACACCTCTTCAGCAGTGCATAACATCTGAATGCCGACATACAATTCGTAAACCACTGCGACTGGTACTTGACAAACACGAAGAGATTTCGGGGGGTGGGGGGGGTTGGGTTGGAGCTCATGGGGTAGTTAGATGTCGGAGGAAGGGAAAACTACACAAGAATTTGTGGATATTGGGGAGGAAGGTTTCCCCTAAGATGTTACTCCCTCCCTATTTATCTACGACAGGGGTAACACAATTTTCTGTAGCCTGCTGTTGCCGTAAAATATATTCTGGGCCCTTTAAAGCCGAATACTGTCCAAATTATATTTAAGAATTTAGTTTGTACCGCAAAGAACACTAAACAACACCATTAAAAAGATCGGTTGGTTAATTCCGTTTAAGGAAATCATCATTGTTTACAGTAATAATCATACGAAAGACATAAATACAAAATGAAGAGTTTACGATCAAATCTGACGCACAAGCAGAAACCGGAAGAGAGTGCGCCCTGAGCCACTACGGCATGCTTAATAGGGTGGCAGTGTTCTTCTTCGACAAGACATTTCTCGCCTTTTTATGGAACCGGAAGGAAAATTAGTCTATTCACGGCGTTCACGACAGCCCGCCACTGGGCCCTGTCGAGTCAGATAAATGCAGTTCACACTCTCACGTATGGCCAAGTTGGGCTGCGACAGGAATGGACAGCCCTTACCAGGATGGGAGACGAACCACCCCGGATTTACTGTGGGTTTCCGGAGACAGATTTCTATAAAGATAGATGCTCTGTGCAAGAGTTAAGTTGAAAGCAGGCAAGCGGATGATATGGGGGGGCGTACAGTATCATCTGAGACTCCGAGGGTATGGAATATGGCGAAAATCTCCTCCTCTCCTTCTTGTCTTCTTGTTGGAATGTTCAGTTGTTGGCGGAAACCCCACGGAGACGTGTAAATCTGACCCCTGGTGACGTAGGAAAAGGCATTTCTCCTTCTATTCTCTCTAGCGAGATCAAACTTGTAGACAGAATGGTATAACACACTAGCTGAGTCAGAAACGTCTCATCGTTCTGTGTTCCACGCCCTGGTAATTTTAATCGGAATACTCGAAATTACAAGACAAAACGCAAAACTTACAGGATCAATTATTCAATAACATAATTTCTGAGCACTATCTAAAAATATTCATGTAAATGAAAACTCACATTGAATTTTATATCACAAATGGAGACATTTCAGTGGTTTTAAGTGAACGTTTAATGAAATAACTTTGAGCATTCTTAATAAATTACCATGAAGAGTCAGTGGATTGTCCTCATTTACATATCGGCAGCCCACAAGTGGATGATAAGGGGTGGGGTAAATGTGGCACCCGATCTAAAAAGGTTGAGGACCCCTCATCTTAACTGAGTAGGCGTTTTTTTGAGCAGCAGCACAGTCAGTTACGAAATATCGGAGTTCGATTTCCACTGAGACCTGTCTAGAGGGCCTCTGTGGGACAGCAGACAGCCTAGCTTATCCGTTCCGGGAGCTGTTTCTCCGACGGTAAAGGACAAAGCCCGTGACACTAACCACCCAGTCCCGAATAAGGGATTCATAGATAACCCTACATGCTTCACGGCATTGTGCTAAGCATGGGAATAGCTTTATGCTTGTCAGTTGTCTATATAGGCGAATTTAATTGTTCCTACCACTATGTCTGTTGTAACTTGCCTCGTAAAGAGTTTGGAAAACGCCAGCCGTCCGTACCTGTGACTCTACGTTAGAACAGAATAGCCTAGAACATTCCGAGGAAGTTAAGACAACAAATTCAATCCTCTTAGCAATAGATTTCATGTTTGTTTTCTCCTGTACAACCCTCGCCATTCTTCGAAAAGTTTACTTTGCTTCTTCAGTTCCCAACCTCTTACTTGCACTTATTCTCACACTAATCACTATGTTTTCTCACCTCTAGCCAGTTAGTTCTATCTCTGTAAGCCCTCACTCCAGCCCAGTGCAACCAATGAAACTTTACTTTTCTTTATAGACTGGACAATTGTCGATTTAAATTTACCCCCTAATTCGTTTCAGCTTCCCTGTTCCTTATAGTTATACAACCAAGAATTTACAGAATTAAGTTGTATTCCAGGAGCACTTAGAATACAGTTCTGATATGTCTGTTTTCCCAGTTCTGTGGTCCGTTTTGTACACTTATCCTGGGATTAACAGTGGGCTAACCCACAAATTTGTAAAACCTGGAATAATGAAAAAAAGTAGCCTCACTGCCACACTCTGCTCAAATTCCTCGGCGTAAGATTCTGAAAAGGTGGGAATTTAACGCCTCTACATAGAAACGAGAGTTTACAAGAATATGTCTGTCTTCTAGGATGGTGGCCGTGTATTCTCATAGATGTTCACCGAAGATGACGTCTGAAACGTCGGCAAACGTCTACGTATAAGCTACTTAAACGAAGGTCAAAATTAATTTTATCGATCAAAATTCGTAACGTAAGCAAATCTCGTGGGTGGTAAAATAAATGGCCCACGTCTCACTGAGATTTATAAATTCCATATTAAATCTCTTTCATCGATTTTGAAAACACAAAGTAAGCCTACAGGAAAAGATAAGTTGTGGCTCTATGCAGTGCCGATACATTATTGCGATTAGCTTAGCCAAAATATATTTGTATCTGTAATAAATGAGCATTAAGCTCAGTGTTGTACGAAACATATCAGAGAACTTATCTGGAAAATATGCATATGCCTACTTCCCTTATATGAAGTTAGAACTTCACATTCAAATGGCAATTCAGTCTTCAATCTTATGCTTGAAAGTAAAGGGCTAGACACAGAACAAAGTTTCTACTTACGACTAGTTTGGTGTGACACTTGCAGATTTGCAAGACTTGCAGATGGCGTAGACAAGCCCAGTAATGGAGATCGGGCATTTGTTATGAGGTTTGGAGTCGCTTAATCTTCTGTTATGGAGGGATGAGAATCAAGGACGGAAGTACAGATAAATGTAGTAAGCGCACGCTGGGAGATACCAAACAGAAGGGGGTTGGAAGGAGGCTGGTTACAGCTTTGTCGTTACTAACTTTGTGTACTGCTATCCATAAGAGCAGATATTGCTCAGCCTTCTCCTTCAACTGTCCCATGGGACTGTCCGATAAAATGAGGATCCTCTCTATGCAACCAAGATACTGGGCTACCTTTTTATTTGTTTGTTATATTTTTATGTTCTTGTCGTTTCTTTATGGCCTATGAAGTTGTTAAGAACTTTATAATGGATACAATCCACACGAAAAGCTGCACCGGGAAAGCTTCCTTGAAGGCCAAACGATACAAAAATAAAGTGCTGGTAGCCAGATTTCTCGTAAGAAGGATTAGCACATATCACAGACGTAAAACCACAACCAAACTTACCTAGATGTCTTTATGGGATGTACTCAACGACATTTTATATTGCGATAAGAAGATAAAATATTCAATTTCGTCATATTTTGTAGACAACTTCGTATAATCCGAGTGCAGAGTTAGACGTTATAATTTCCTGCTTTTGATAACAAAAATGGTCATGTCGGAGAGAATATGCATATTTATTTTTAACAGAATCAGCTTACGTAGAGATCTATTACGTATTCTTTGTTGGCTGAAGTGTTGGCGAACATACACACTAAGCAAACAAATTTAAAAGATAAGACTTCAGGCGGGGAGATAAACAGATGACGCATACACCCTGTTATGGGATGGTATTCTCTGTGCATTCATGTTTTATTCTGGTAAGCGAAATGCACGCCACGTTTAGTGTCCTATTCAGGAATACCACTTCCACTCGTAATACTAACCTCAAAGCATTTCCGTGATTGCTAGTCTTCGAATTGATGTGCACAATTTTCTCTATCGTCCATAAGGAAGAAGGAAATAACACTATCTTTTTTCTTGCCTTTTTTAAATCTCTCCTCCTTTCTGTCATCCACGTTCTTTCTAAAAACAAAAGGGAAGGAATTCCCACAGTCGGACAAAAACAAATATGGGGCCTTGTAAACGGGAGGATATTTTCCTGGCTATGTTTTTAGTCTCAAAATACGAATGGCCTGCCTGACTTTTATCCTCAACAACTTGGACTGGGGTTATGGCATATTAGAAATTTCACTTTTCTTCTCACTACAATAATCTTTCCTTTATTTTTGAATTCCGGTTTTGAGAGTTTACAGGCCAGAGTGTTACTGAAAATGGGTGGGATCTTTGAAACAAAAATTGTTCAAATCTAGCGCGCCTTCCACATTCCAGCTCTGGAAACTTCGGAAGCCAACATAACAGCAGACAACAACTTAACGTTTACATTTACATGATTTTGAAGTTCCGCTAAAAGTTCTGCCAGCAGTATGAATAGTAGTAATCCCTGGCAATTTATTTTTGTTCCTTTATTTCGTAATAACTTTTTTTTTACTTTTCTGGCCTCAAAATGTAGAAAGCTAAAAGCAGTGCTAACAGGTGCTATTTCGCCTGCTATTGACACCAAAGCAGAGAGCTTTTGAAGTCAGAAAGCCTCTGAACTCTGCAGTACTGTTTGCATTTTCTTTAATAAACAAGTTTCCTGCGTAACAGAACACAAAAACCACTGCATGTACTCCACTGTAATAATAGAGTGGTTCACGAAATACGTTGAAAATACGACCAGACAAAAGCAACGTTACTGGGGTGGTCAAATTGAGGATGATATGGGGAACGTGCAGTTTTAGTCGGAAAACCTGAAGGGAACATATTACTTGAGACCTCTTGGTGTAAGCGGGAGCATATTATTTAGTGAAGATCAAAGAAACGGGGTTTAGATATACGGAGTGAATTCGTTTGCTTATGAGTACTACATGTCTCACCCATTTCCAAAGAAATAAAATATGCTAATCAAATATTTTACTTGTAAATTAAACTGAACAAGGCTTTATATAGTGTAAAAATCGATTATGTTCCGTCGGTATAATTGGATCATATAATGAAATGTATGTGTAAAAATATTAAATTATACTCGTTATCAATTTCTGTAATCAGCTGCCATGTTCGAGTGTTTGGTTCATTAAGCGAGTGAGTGGTACGGCAATGTTAGCTGCATCGACTATCTTGCCCTTAACTTCTGGGCTGCATGATATGTACATGAGCAGAAAAACAATTTTCTTAAAGTTCCTTACCTTGACGTACCTCCCATCCGTTACAAAAGACATCTTGATCCAAACGAGAGATACCGGCTCCGCCAGTCATTACGCTGAAAAAGTTAAAACATATTTTCACAATTAGGCCTACGCTTCAAGACCGTAACTGACACTTAAAATAATATTTTGTACACAATTCAACATCCAATAGGTGAGATTTCAGATTTTCATTAAAATTATTGTCTTCTGGACTGTTGCGCTGTGTACTCTGGTAGAACTTTGCCGACATTTCAACATTCTCTCCTAGTGATTTCTTAGTAATCTTCTATTTATGTATAAATTTAATTTTATTTAAATTACACGCGTAAAGTCTGTCGACCCCTGACAACACACGGAATCCTCCTCACTGCTTCCAGCAATTCCAAACCAAACCAACTCACTGCAGTGTCTACTGCAGACTTCAACCAGGAAGGTAGTACAAATGGAAATAAATTCTGCCGAGAGAACAAATATTAAAATGAAGGGAAAAAGGAGTGTAATAACTTATGGTTCTCAGACACTAACATAATTAATTAATTCGGTAACATAGACAAAGGATATATAAAGTGACTATAGGTACATATTTTTTTTTATGTTAAAGTGTCCAAAATTATAATTCACTTGTTCTATATGAGTGCGACTCACCCCGAGCGAAGAAGAAAATTTAGGGTACTTGAGAACAAAAGTGGTGAGAATACTTTTATCCAGGACAGAGGAGGAAAGCATATGAGAAACTTAATAATTTGTACTCTTCATCAAATATTTTACGATACTTAAATTAAATGACACAATTTTAGATCTATGATGGTGATGGGTTTACGCCTAACGTTCACCATATACTATCGGATCCAAAGAAATAAAATATGCTAATCAAATATTTTACTTGTAAATTAAACTGAACAAGGCTTTATATAGTGTAAAAATCGATTATGTTCCGTCGGTATAATTGGATCATATAATGAAATGTATGTGTAAAAATATTAAATTATACTCGTTATCAATTTCTGTAATCAGCTGCCATGTTCGAGTGTTTGGTTCATTAAGCGAGTGAGTGGTACGGCAATGTTAGCTGCATCGACTATCTTGCCCTTAACTTCTGGGCTGCATGATATGTACATGAGCAGAAAAACAATTTTCTTAAAGTTCCTTACCTTGACGTACCTCCCATCCGTTACAAAAGACATCTTGATCCAAACGAGAGATACCGGCTCCGCCAGTCATTACGCTGAAAAAGTTAAAACATATTTTCACAATTAGGCCTACGCTTCAAGACCGTAACTGACACTTAAAATAATATTTTGTACACAATTCAACATCCAATAGGTGAGATTTCAGATTTTCATTAAAATTATTGTCTTCTGGACTGTTGCGCTGTGTACTCTGGTAGAACTTTGCCGACATTTCAACATTCTCTCCTAGTGATTTCTTAGTAATCTTCTATTTATGTATAAATTTAATTTTATTTAAATTACACGCGTAAAGTCTGTCGACCCCTGACAACACACGGAATCCTCCTCACTGCTTCCAGCAATTCCAAACCAAACCAACTCACTGCAGTGTCTACTGCAGACTTCAACCAGGAAGGTAGTACAAATGGAAATAAATTCTGCCGAGAGAACAAATATTAAAATGAAGGGAAAAAGGAGTGTAATAACTTATGGTTCTCAGACACTAACATAATTAATTAATTCGGTAACATAGACAAAGGATATATAAAGTGACTATAGGTACATATTTTTTTTTATGTTAAAGTGTCCAAAATTATAATTCACTTGTTCTATATGAGTGCGACTCACCCCGAGCGAAGAAGAAAATTTAGGGTACTTGAGAACAAAAGTGGTGAGAATACTTTTATCCAGGACAGAGGAGGAAAGCATATGAGAAACTTAATAATTTGTACTCTTCATCAAATATTTTACGATACTTAAATTAAATGACACAATTTTAGATCTATGATGGTGATGGGTTTACGCCTAACGTTCACCATATACTATCGGATGATCAAATGAAAAATGGTGACATGAGTGGGAAATGTAGCACGCATACGAGATACGAGAAACTCACACAAAGTTTTGGTCGGGAACTCCGAGAGGAAAATACAGCTTGGAATACCTCGGCCTGTATGTAATCATGATATTAAAATAGATTCAAAAGCAACTGGATGGGAGTGTGGACTGGACTCGTTCAGCTCAGGGTAGGGAGCAGGGGTAGCCTCCTGTGAGCACAGTCAGGATTCAGGCTACTGAGAGGGCTCTAAGTCTGTGGTGTTAGCTAGTTGCTGGTGTTTCATTTTTTAAGACTGTGGACTCACGAAATTTTGTGCAACACCAACTACATCTGCTATTATTGCAGTGAAATTAGCTCTACTCTGAATTTTAAACCGGAGGCTCCCATGTGGACCAATCCTGAAGCAAACTTAGTCTTCCCAACTGGTTCACAGAGAGTAAAGCGTAATGGTACGTATTAATATTCGGAGCAACTTGTTTCAGTAGTTGGTAACATTTATAGTATTTATTCCTTCTCGCTAGCTGTTTCAGTAGTTGGTAACATTTATAGTTTTTATTCATTCTCGCTAGGTTCTGTACTTACACCCAGATAACTATATGGGTATAAACCCTCTGCAGACTAAAGACCTTAAGTTTTAATATGGACGAGCTTTAAAATAAACTGCACTTATAGAGAAAATAAATAAATGAGAGAGATAATTTATCGTAGATACGGTGATTTCTTGTTCCCCGTTTAAATAAAAAAAAGAAATGAAGTGGCTTAGCTTCTGCAAACAGTCAGCTACTTTCATAAACTTCTCGTAGTCCGGTTCAGAAAAGAATTCCCACATGATACAGCCTATAAGCTACAGAACACACACGTGTCCTACAACTTCATATTGGAGCGTCGTAATTAAGAGCTTACAGTTACTCAGCTGTTCAAAAGAAATCAGTTTTTACGGAGGCAGAGTTTAAAAGAGCACTCAGACCCGTGCCAGTTGAATCCATCCCATACGTTCACGGGCTACTTCGAAAATTCCATTTTAAGATTGTTCTCTCAGTAACGCCAAATAACCTTATTTTTTTAATTCTTATCCCAGCAACGATTTCGAGGGGGGGATTTTACAGTACTTTCTTTAACAGTTAAAAAGTTTCTCCTGTCTTAGAAGCATAACTCAAGGTAGTTTTTTAATACTGATAGAAACCACGGAGATTTCTTTATTGACGATAATTAAATTTCCCCTCTGCCTTCGGTGCCCTCTGTCCCACTGTGTGCTACAAAAATTTCCACTTCGAATTTCCATTATTTATGAGTTTTATAAAAAAAATTCACAAGATAATTTCTGGTACGTTATGGAATTGCACAGAGGCTCATTTAATATCAAATGTAAGATGAAAGATACGTGTATTGTTACAGCGTTCACTTTGTGCAACCAGACAACACGCCTCAGGCTTTCAACCGAACTGCAAATTAAATAAAACTCAGACACATGTAATTATACGTTTTTAATTCTGCATGGTCTCATTGTGTGTATTATTTCCCTGTATCAGCACTAGAATAACATAATTCTTCATTCTCCTGCACTGTCCAAATTTACGTCGGGTCATGCCATTTTTCATTTTGCAGTGATCAAATGCAGTAATAATTATTCGCGACTGTCAACACACTGAATAAACAAAAGGAACTATTAAAGAAATTAAATATGTAGTGGAATTTCATTTGCATCGTAACTCACTTCTTGTTTAATTAGGTAGTGGTATTTCTTCCAATACAGATAGAATAATTATACCGCAATGCCTCGTTCGTAGGTACAAAATGTATCACGTGAAGGTGACAGTGGTCTTTGTCCTTCTGTATATCCCACACTTCCATTCCATTGAAACTAAGGCCAGAACAAATCTAATTTTAGGCTGGTCACCTGTAAATAAAATCCAGAATACAGCGAACGCTCTGTATGTTTGAGAATTGTTTTCGGAGACAGACCACAAACATAAATTCTGCGTGGTACATGTATATGATACGCTGTACTTTAAGAATACACAGGGAAAATTTAAAACAGTCACAGTCTGTTCCAGTGAAAATTATGTACAGAAATTGATGACTAAACAATGCACTTACGGTAATTTATAATTCTTGCCAGCCTCGAAGTAAAATATATTCCGTGTGTTCTAATAATATCTTTTTTTTTTCTCCCAAATGCGGTTTAATGGGCCAATGCAGTTAAATGGGTATGCGAGCCACATGTTTGTTGTTGGTTGGTGGGCAGAGAGACAGCGATAAAGCAGAGCATTGTAAAAAGCTATATGCGAGAGTGGTTGGCTAATGTAAGACCGGAAATTGGGAATCTCTAACCAAGACTACGATTTATTCAACGACAGAGCATTCATCAAAGATATTACCGTAATAATGTGTGGAATAAATCCATCTTTCATTTCAAATAAACCGCCATAATTAAAGCACTCATATACGTTACAATATAATAACAGCACCCAAGACTAGACGAACATGAACGCGCACTTTCCCTTCGCTGAATTAACATGTTATCTGCTATTCAGATCCCTTGCACCTCATCTACATACTTAAATGGACATGAAGTGACGTTAACAACACTGCAACATCAATTAAGTGTTTGCGCACGTAAATGATAACATCTGAACACGTGGGTGAGAGTCAGGCGCTCTGCGGTTATCTCGAGAAGGAGAAATCGATAGGGCCCATCATTCTCAGTTTATCACGAAATGCATACCATATTAGCGTGCTTATGTTCCTTGAAACAAGTGCATTATTAGACACAAAAACTGTACATGTGCCCCACATACGTGTTCTGAGCCAACAGACTCATCTCATGGGATTACGCACGAAAATATCCAGTACTCAGAAATGTTGTCTTTATGAACCGTTACGTTAAAGATTTCGGTCGCACATGAAATCCAATAAATAATTGCCAAAATTATTGTCTAAATAGCACGAAGCCATCAAAAAGTGTCTTATAACCCTGAAAGTGCCAGCTGTAAGATGACATGTCGCATTTTCTGGGTAGGAGAGTGTCGCTCTGACAGCGGAGATGTTTGTTGGGTTGGGTACTTCCATCTAAACACAGGGAAACGTCACTTCGTACCTTCTTTTTATAGCATGGATGTCCATTTCTATTCCCATCCCTCCTTGCCATCAAACCTCTTTATAAAAGCTGTTATTTTTTGTCTATTTACGTGCGTGTCTCCTCCTTTCCTGGTCCCTGCCCTTTATAGGTCACTTCTTACTTCTCTACTTCTTTACATGCGA